TTATTGTCTATGCCTTTTTATACTAGTAAATATTCGAGCCGAACAAACCGAATAATTTACCAGACGGAATAAAACGAAATTGAGAAGAGAAAATTCGAATCATACCGAATTTAAGTAGGTATGATATTGGCATAGCATTTTAAGAAACCGAATACCAAAAAATATCGAATCGAAATATTTAAATATCATAATGTACCGACTGACGAACACCCCTAGTTATCCGTTAGGGGTCCGTCCGAAATAAAAGAAAATCTGGTAGTAGTTGGAGCAGCACTAGCAAGTGAGTGATTGGTGACGGGTAAAATTTTAAATTCAACGAAAGTTGTCAAACTCTAGCTTTGCAAATAACGATTTTAATAGTTGTGAGCGAAGTTATGGCTAAACACCTCACTACCACACTGACTGAACTATAAATTGACTCAAACTTGACTTGTGATTGTATATTATGCTACAACATACAATGAAAATCACTAATATATGCATAATTACGTAGAGATTACGTATTTAAAAAAACACTAAAGATGGAAAACAGTAGTAAAGAAATTTCCATGCAATTAGTTTTTAGTGTAACGGCCCGATTAGTTGATAAAGGGTGAAAAGTGCATGTTTTGAGTGTATTTATGTATTAATTCTTATGTGAGTTGCGGGAGTTTACACTACTTTTGAAGTAAAAATACGTTCATTATGTGTTTCTTATTTGTGGGAACGAACTTGCGCAAAAAAAAAATCAAATAGGAGCAAAATTGGCGAAAGAAAAGTTGAAGGCAGAAATCTGGGATAGTGAATCGTCAAACCGGGAGTGGACCAGAAAAATATCAACTTTTCTAATCCGAATTAGGAGAAGCCAGGCCCGCCCCAACTAAACCCTAAACCATATAAATATGATAGTTAGCCACTTTTTGAAGGAGATAAGACCTTAGGGAATCAAGAACATACTTGGAATCAAAGAGAAGTCATAACAAAGTTCAAACCGTGGAATTCATCTTGAGTTCTTTTTTTTCCTTCTATTATTGATTTTTATGTATTCTTGGAAATTAATTGATATTGTTACCATGACTATGCGTGGCTAAACTCGTTCATTCTAGGGTTATGGTTTTACTTGAATGTTGGTATTCGAATATTGATTTGATGATTTAATTTATCATATTGGGTTGTTTATTCATATCCTGAGCCTAATTATTTTACTGCCTAGTTAACAGTAAAATACTATATATGAATCTTGAGTTGAACTTGAAATATGTAATTCTTGATTGCAGTAGGATTGAATAGAGCGTGATCTTGAACCTAGTCATTGGGGAATTGATTTGCGAATACGGATAGAAATATACCTATTTGCCGTACTTAGCCAATTATACAAGAGATTATTAATGTGTTCTTTTTATCTCTAATCTCATCGAAATATAGGGTTTACAATAAATTCAATAGGCGAGTAGAAGTTATCGAATTTCTACGAGTATTATTGTCCTTGCACGTTAATAACCTAGCTAAATTAATAAGTCGAGTTGATTAAAGAATTCAACAGGATTATTATTTAACCATGACTCTGGAATATTATTTCTCATTGAATTAAATCTTTCATGCTAAGTGTGCTAGTTAATTAGTTCTACTTTTAATCGCAACTCTAGTTCATAGAATTAATTAAACAAAAAATCACCTTGAAATTGTTCTTGACTCAGTAAATTAGAAATTTCTTGATTTAGTTTATAGTTGATCACAAGTCCTCATGGGAACGATACTCTATTCACTCTTTATTACATGATTGACCGCGTATACTTGCGTGTGCGATTTAAGGCAACACCGAATGTTTTGAGAATTTGCATCCCGTTCGGTGTCTTAAAGTCTCGAGTAGTTTCGTATTATGTTAACTGACATGCGTGTATAGTCGAGTTGGGTTTTAGGATGATTCAGGATCAATTTGGAAGAAGGATTCTTATTCTAGAAGCTTAAGAGGTAAGAGTTGATCGGAGTTTGACTTTTGTGTAGACGACTCTGAAACGGTGTTTTGATGATTACAATAGCTTCATATGGTGATTTTGCATTTAGGCGTGCATACGGATTTGGATTTGGAGGTCCGTAGGATAATTTAATGCATTTTGGCAAAAATTGAAAAAAATAAAGCTTTGGAAGGTTGAGAGGTTTGATCGGGAGTAGACTTTGTTGATATCTAGTTTGGATTTTGATTCCGATAGTTGGTATAGCTCCGTTGTGTCATTTGGATCTTGCATGCAAAATTTGACATCATTCCGGGTTGAATTGATATGATTCGGTGCGAGTTGTAGAAGTTAGAAGTTCATAACCTCATTAAGTTCGATTCGAGGTGTGATTTGTAGTTTCGATGTTATTTGATGTGATGTGAGGCCTCGAGTAGGTCCGTGTTATGCTATGGAACTTGTTGGTATGTTTCAATGGTGTCATGAGGGCCTCGGGTGTGTCTTGGGTGGTTCCCGGTCTATTTCTTCTTGCTTTTGAGTTGCTGGTTTCTAGTGTTGATGTTGCTCTTCGCAATCGCGAAGATGAAGCTGCGATTGCGAAGTGATTCTGGGAAAATCAGTAATTTTGCTCATCGCGGATGCGACAGTGGGCATGCATTCGCGAAGGTTAAGCTGGTTGTTGTTTGTGTAGGGTGTTACGCGATCTCATAATGGAATTGGTGACTGGTGGAATGTTACTCATTGTGTTCACGAAGGTTGGCCAATCTGTTCATCACATTCGCGAGGTTTTTCCCGCAGCGTAAGCAGTGATTTTTGTGCCCCACGGCGGCGAAATGTGTTCCACGATCGCGTAAGAGGAATGCCAGGCTAGAGTTATAAGAACTCTATTTCGAGGGTTTGACCATTTTTATCATATCTTGAGTTGTAGGTGTCACGACCCAGATTTTCCACCCTCGGGAGTCGTGATGGAGCCTACTAGTGAAAGCCAGGCAAGCCAACTATTCCGATTAATCTATCCTTTTCATTTTTCATCTCTTAACAATTACAAGTTAACATATTATAAACAGTGGAGATAACAATGCGGATGAACTAAATTTAACAATTAAGCTAATACCAATACGAATCTATAAACATAAACCACCCAGAATTGGTGTCATAATTTCACGGACTATCTAAGAAAAACTACACATAGGGTCTGAACAAGAAAGTACATGTCTATCTCTGAAATAGAAAAGAACAGAAAGAAACTAGATAGGAAGGGGACACCAAGGCCTGCGGACGCCTGCAGGACTACCTCAAGTCTCTGATGGACTGAAGGCAGCAACCCCTAGCTAAGGTCCGCATGCTCCAATATCGAAATCTGCACAAAAGAGTGCAGATTGTAGTATCAGTACAACCGACCCCATGTACTGAGTAAGTGTTGAGCCTAACCTCGGCGAAGTAGTGATGAGGCTAGGACACAACAAACAAATAACTTGTAGTTAAACAGTATCTAGCAAAATAACAGTAATAGAAGTAATTCAAAAGTAACGGGAGAGGGGTAACATGCTATGCGGGAAATACCAACATAAAAAATCATAGTAATAGCGGAATAAGACAGTTGAGATATTTGAACCGAAATTAGCAAGAAATCATAACAAACAGGCAACAAGTGCACGGCATCACCCTCCGTGCTCTTATTCTCAATCCTTACCAATGCAATCAAGTAATGAAAACGTGCACGACATCACCCTTCGTGCTTTATCTCTCTTCCTCACCATGTAAATATTAGAAATGTGCACGACATCATCCTTCGTGCTTTATCTCTCTTCCTCACCATATGCATCAATATCAATGTAAATTTACACGGCATCACCCTTCGTGCTTTATCACTCTTTCCTTACCATATGCATGAGTATGAATGTGCACGGCATCACCCTTCATGCTTTATCTCTCTTTCCTCACCCAAACAATAGCAACAACAACATCCCTACAAGGGAATCAACATCAAGAATAAATACATCCCGACAAGGGAATCAACAATAAGAATTAAATACGTCCCGGCAAAGGAATCAGCTATAACCAAACTTGTACCAACAAGTAACTTCACAAATGAACCTCAACTGGAGCCAATGCTCAATAATAAACAAATAACAAGAAGATAATCATAAGTCTTGCTCAACATGGATAATCAAAAATTTAGGCATTTGTAGTACATTAAGCAACACAACGATCACAATTTAAGACTCACGGGCATGCTTGACACCAACTTATACATACTCGTCACCACACCTATATGTCGTACACTACACTAGCACAAAGCAAATAAGGCACAATACCTATTCCCTCAAGTTAAGTTTAGACCAAACACTTACCTCGAACTTCCACAACTAACTCAAGCCTCAAATACCGCTTTCCCTTTAGAATTCGCCTCCAATTTATTTGTATCTAACCCAAATTAATTTAACAACATCAATAAATGCCAATGAATTCGACCCCAATGCTAATTTATAGATTTTCTATCATTTTTCCTAAAAAAGTAAAAAATCGACCCCGGGCCCGCTTGGTCAAAATTCGAGGTTCGGACCAAAACCCGATCACCCATTCACTCATGAGTTCAGATATGTAATTAGTTTCGAAATCCGACTCCAAAGCGAGGTCTAAATTCCAATTATTCAAAAAGCCCTAACTCTACCCAAATTCCCAATTTCTACCATAAAACCCTAGATATTTGGATGAAGATTGATGAAGTGCAAAGGAAAATCGAAAGAAAATGGTTTAGAATCATATACCAATACTTTGGGGAAGAACTTGCTTCTCGAAAATCGCCTTAATGCTCTCTAGTTTTTGAAATATGAAAATGTGGGCTAAATCCCGATTTTTCTACTGTTTTAAGTGCTGGGCAGCAGTGTTCATCGCGTTCGCGTGAGCACTGTCGCGTTCGCGAAGAGCTTCTAGTTGAGGACTTACGCGATTGATAGAGAAGCTTCGCATTCGCGAATGCTTAGCCCAGCCCTGACTTCGCGTTCACGATAAAGGGGTCGTGTTCACGTAGTTCTCCCTAGGTTCCCTGACCAGCCCATCCTAAAGCTACGCGTCCACGGTTGATCGGTCACATTCGCGTAGAGCAAACCTCACAATACTCCGCGTTCGCAACCTGGGTCTCGCGTTCATATAGGGTAAAATCCTCCCCAGCCCTATTTCCATTTCGCGATCACGAGAATGGCTTTGCAACCGCGACACACAAAACGTTTGTGCACCAGAAGCAGCAAAACCTGCAAATTTTCTAAGTGTAAAAACATCCCGTGGTCTATCCAAAACTCACCCGAGCCCTCGGGGCTCCAAAACAAACATGCACACAACCCTAAATACATTATACAGACTTACTCGTGAGATCAAATCGCCAAAATAACGCCTCGAACTATGAGTTTAGCATCAAAATCAAAAAAATCTCAATAACTCTTAAGTTCAAATTTTCACAACCGAGGGTCCGATTCACGTCATATGAAGTTCGTTTCTTACTAGATTTTACAGGTATGACTTAAATACCATATAAAACTTGTACCGCGCTCCGAAACCAAAATACGGGGCCGATACTATCAAATTCAAATATTTTTAAATTTTTCAGAAACTCTTATAATTTCAGTTAAAAACTTTTCTTCAAAAATTCATTTCTCGAGCTTGGGACCTTGAAATTTAGTTCCGGGCATACACCCAAGTCCCATATTTTCCTACGGACCTTCCGGGACCGTCAAATCACGGGTCGGGTCTATTTACCCAAAATGTTGGCCGAAGTCAACTTAAATTCAATTTCAAAGGCAAAATTAGCATTTTTTTGGTAATTAAACACTTTTATTACACAGTAAATATTTACAATATATACCTAGAGACTAAACTTCTCTACTCTCCTTTGTTGGACATGAAGCCCCAACGTAAGGATCCTACATTACCCCCTAACCAACCGTATTCCTTTCTAGATTATACTGGGTACCAGTTCATATTACTTAGGTAGGCATCCAACTTTTTACAACTTTGAGCTCGTATATGAATTTCCTGCACTATCACTTTCACTATACTCACAACATTGACTTTTTCCTTTTGAAATATACTCTTATTCCTAGCTTGCCAGACATGATAAATAACTGCAGCCAAAGTAATTCTGTATAACTCTGCTCCAACACTCTTTCCTGCTGCTTTCTCCACTGCCCATTGTACTTCTTCATGCCATTGTTTTTTCCCTCTCATGATCCCTTGCCATTGTAATAGTTTCTGCCATATTTCCCATGCTACATCACATTCAAAGAAGAGATGTTGAACTGTTTCATTGCTCCGCTGACATAGTGAACGTACTGTTTCCTCCATTGAGCCCCATCTAGCAAGTCTTTCCTTGGTAGCTAGTCTGTCTAGGATTGCCAACCTTAGGATGAAAATCCATTTAGGCATCCCCTTGTTATTTCATACTAGCCCTCTCCATGGCACCTTTTGGAAGCCCCCCTTGTAGTCTTTTTTACATCTGTTTGGTGGAGAAACTATCTAGTTGCTTCACATCTTCTTCTGAATATCCTGCCTTTTGGAATTGCGTCTTTTCTTTGAAGATCTTCTGTATTACCCAGGATGCATTCCTAGGCTATGTGTCCCAAGTACTGTTCCCTTTTATATAATACGTATGGACCCATTGCACCCACATTTTCTCCTTCTTTTTACATATATTCCATAGCAACTTACAAATAGCTGCTTTATTCCATATCTCTATGTTGATGAAGTTTAGTCCCCCTACTGATTTAGGTACACATAGTTTGTCCCAAGCAATCAGTGCCTTTCTTGTTGGTTCAACATTCCCAGTCCATAGAAATCTCCTACATATTGTCTCAATGAATTGTATAATCTTCTTTGGTAGTATGAAAACTTGTGCCCAGTAGTTACGAAGTGTTAACAATACGCTTTTGATCAATGTTGCCCTCCCTGTATAAGATAATAACTTGGTTGTCCAGCATTGCACTCTACTCAACAACTTGTCAATCAAGGGCTCACATTGGACTATTGACAGTCTCTTTGTACTCAATGGGACACCAAGATATCTAAAGGGTAGTTCACCTTTAGTATATCCTAGTATTTCCAGAGTTCTTTGCTGCACCCTGTTGTCAACTCCACCAAAGTATACATTGCTCTTCTAGAAGCTTTGGAGAATCTTTGAAACTGATTATGAATTTCCACCACAGATTTCTCCTCTCCCTTGCAGAATAGCAGTAGGTCATCAGCAAATCCTCACTGTATGAGATTCAGTTTAGCACACCTTGGATGGAACTTGAAGTTTTTGTTGTTTCCTAGCTGCTTGAGTAATCTACACAAGTACTCCATTGCTATGACAAAAAGCAGTGGTGAGAGTGGATCTCCCTGCCTTAGCCCTCTCTTTGCTTCAAATGGCTTGATTGGCTTCCCATTTACAATATTTGAGTAACATACTATGCTTATGCTTGTCATCACCCAATTTACATATTTTTCTGGAAATCCCATCATCCTCATTACTTGTTCCACATAAATCCATTCTACTGAATCATAGGCCTTCTGCATGTCTATCTTTAGCATACATCTGGGTGATGTATTCTTTCTTCCATATCCTTTGATCAATTCATAGCTCATTATAATGTTGTCTGTGATCACTCTTCCAGGTACAAAGGCTGTTTGACAATTATCTATCACCTTTGGCAAGATTTCTTGCAATCTGTTTGTTAAGATTTTGGATATGATCTTGTACAGAACAGTGCAACATTATATAGGTCTAAATTCTTTAATATTGCTGGGATTCTTCACTTTTGGGATCAGAGTTATAGTAGTACAATTGATTTGCTTACACATTTCTGAATTGTCAAAGAATTCCAATACTGCTTGAGTCACCTCCTTGCCTATTATATGCCATGCTTTCTTGTAGAAGAAAGCACTGTATCCATCACAGCCTGGAGCTTTGTTGTCATCAATACTCTAAAGTGCTTGTTTAACCTCCTCTTCAGTTACTTCTCTTATCAGATTCAATTGTTGTTGTCTATTCAGGTTGTTCCCCTGCTTCATTACTTCTGAGTTTACTGCTGGCAACTGTATTGCTGCTGTTCCTAGTAGATTTTTGTAAAATTTTAGAATCTCCTCTTCCACATTTGTAGCTGTATTTAGTAACTGACCTGCATTATTAAACAAACAACCTATATAGTTAGTGGCTTGTCTACTCTTAATGCTAGCTTGGAAATAAGCTGTGTTTGCATCTCCCAAGTTGAGCCATTTGATCCTTGACTTTTGCCTCATAATGCTTTCCTCAATTTCAATCCATTTAGCTAGATCCTTCCTTGCTTCTTTTTCTATTGTTATACCTTCTGTACTGCAGCCAGGTCCATCCCTTTGCTTCTGAATCCCTTCCAACTTTAGTCTTGCTTCTTGGATTCTTTGCACAGTATTGTTAAATTCTTGTCTATTCATCTGCTTCAATTTGCTCTTTATCATCTTGAGTTTCCTCCATACTCTGGTCATTGTTTTTCCTTCTTTTCTTTTTCTCTAGCATTCATACACAGCATCCTCAAATCCTTTATGTTGTGCCTTACAGTTAAAGAACTTGAAAGGTCTCCCACCATTCTGTTGCACAAAGTCCATTTTTAGACTTAATGGACAATGATCTGATAACCTAGGTTGCAATGTCCTTCCTTCCATTACAGGCCATTTTTGAATCTAGGCAGCATAAACAAGAATTCTATCAATTTTGTTGTGAACATGGTTGTTAGTCCACGTATACTTCCTTCGTACTGTCTTTAATTCAGTTAGTCCATTCCTCCAGATGAAATCTTTGAAGTCTTTCACTTCAAATTCCTGTACTGGTGTCCCTTGAGCCCAATCTTCATTAGTCAAGATGGTGTTGTAGTCTCCCATTAGCACACAAGGATCGGTAGCACCAGCCATTGCTTTTTCTATATCTTCCCATAGTCTTGTCCTATCTTGTATTTTATGCTTACCGTATACAGCACCAAATCTGAATTTATTGCCATTTTGCCTCTCTATGACTTCCCCTATTATGTATTGTTGGTGCATTTCATACCCTTTAAAGTCTACCCTTTTTTGATCCCAAGAAATCCATATTCTACCACCTGGAGCCTGTGAATAATTTGCTATCCATCTCCAGTTATTGAAGATCTTCTTTATGATACCTTCTGCCTTTGTTTTTTAACTCTATTCTCCAAAACTGCTATAAGCACTATCTTATTCTCCCTAATAAAAATTTTTAGTTCCTTTTTCTTATACACCTTATTCATACTTCTAACATTCCACACTATGATGTTTATCATTATAAATTTCTTTGATTATTGTTACCCCCTCTGCCTCTATCCCTATGCAGTTCCCTATCTTTGCTTTGTTCCCTTGTCATTTGGACAAGCCTTTGTGCAGTATCTACCAAAGCTGTGAAAGCATTTCCAGTGTTAACTTCTATCTCATCTCTTCCATCTCCATTCTTCTTTGTAGCAGATTTATTTTTTGCCAATTGCCATTGTTCTTCCTTTAAATTGTTACTTTGTATCCCATCACTGACTTCTTCCAATTGCTCCAGAAATCTTCCTCTTGTATCAATTTTATCAGTCTTGGGATCTAGATTTCTTACAACTTTCCATATCTTTCCTTGATTTTGCATACCATATGTTTGCTGCCATCTCTTGCTTCTAAACTTCATTGTTGTGGCATGAATGACCAATTTGACAGCAAGTTTGACAGTACTGGTGTTTCCAGTCATACTGTACCAATTGCTCAATCACTTTGACATTAGGGTCAACCAGCTTAATTGTCCCAGGTAGTGTTCTAGTTATATCCATTTCTATAAGGATCCGAGCATATGAGATCCTATCAGCCATAGTTGTGCAAGCATCAGCATACAAAGGCTTCCATAGTCCACTTCCAATTTTCCTAAGCGCCTTATTACTCCAGTAGTTCAGTGGGAGTTTTGGGAATTTAACCCATAGCGGAATAGTTTTCAAAACCTCTTCATTAAAGTCAAATCCCTCAGCCCAAGCTTTTAGTATTATAGGTCTACTGTTCATAGTATAAGGCCCATTCATCAACACTTCATCTCTTTCTTCAACACTATTCAATAAAATTGTGAAATATCCATCACTATGATATAGTACCTTAGGTTTTCTGACTTTTCCCCATTGAGCAGCAACAAATCGTTCAATGCTCCTATAGTTGGAGTATTTCCAACTACATACATTATTAGAGCTCGATTCCATTTCTGGTTCTCCTCAGCTATATCTTCTTCCAGGATCTGTACTACTACTTCACCTTCTTGTATCACTGGTGGAATATATGTTAGATCCATTCCTTTTGCAGCTAATTTGTTGTCTTGTAATAATCTAGCCCATGACCTTCCTAGATTGGTTGGTTTCGTCTGGTTCTGCCTATCTTCCTCAGCTCGTATATTCATTGTTTCATTGCCTTGCTCCTTTACCATACCATTTGTTACTGTTTCATTGGGTTTTGCTCTGCTAGTGCTTGCATCTCCAATGGCAACTGGTGTTACATTCATCCTAGGTATCCCTAGATTAGCGGGATTCACTGGGGTATCTGAATTAACACGATTGCAGCTTAGATCTGGCCAATTTAGCTCACAATCACTGTCGAGATCCAGTTCCTCTTCCTGCATTTTCCCCTTTGCATGTTGTTTTCCTTGTTCCTTTGAGTTGCTTTCCTTGATTCTGCGATCAATTACTAACAATTTGGACTGATTTTTCCTTGGCCTCCCTCTTCCTCCCATTTCTGGTGGTAGCGCAGTTATCTCATCTAACGTGCTCCAAAATTTACATAAAAGCATTCCGAATATACGCCTGGACCGTGCACACAAATCGAAGTGAGATAAAAAAGGTTTTTAAGGCCTCGGAACACAGAATTCACTTTTAAATCAAGTGATGACATTTTGGGTCATCACAGTAGGTCTCGGATTTGAGCGATTTTTGAGCGATTTTTAAGCGGTTCTTCATGTATTGGTTTGGGGCAAATGTTCTCAATCTGGATTTGATTTGATTTTATTATTCCATCTTTATTTTTATCATTAAATTAATGATTTGAGTTGGGAAAAATGGAAATTTTGTAAAATCTTTAAAAAATTTAAAATGAGGATTTGGAGGACGATTCGATATCGGAAATTGATAATTTTGGTGACTCATATCGGAATGGGTGTTTGAATTTTGTAATTTTGGTCGGGTTCTGAGGTACGCCCATGGTTGACTTTTTGAGTTAACTTTTTATTTCTTTTTCAAGATCAAAACTTTATTATACTGAATCGTTTCCTATGAATTTTATTTATGATATGAAGTTACTTTAGCTAGATTTGAGCCGTCCGGATGTTGTTTCACACAAGATTTTTTTTAGAGTATCGGTCTAGCTTCTTTGAGATAAGTATCATGTGAAGTCATTTGTGCTAATTGAGTCATTTGCGCTACTTGTGTCATGTGAAGGCCGTGTACGTGAGGTGACGAGTACGTATTCGGGCTTATTTATTGGAACTTGACCATTGTAGGCTCTTAGGTTATTTTGCTCAATTAAAAATAAATTTGACTTATCATGTTAAATTCTCCATTTACCAAATTCACTCTTACATGTCTTAATTGGAGTTTATTAATTTACGTTTTACCCTTGCTGCCAATAAACTCTTATCAACCTTAACTAAAGTTGTCACCTCTTTTATTGCCATGCTATCTTTTCCGTAATTGCTTAACCTTAATTGAAATTATTATTATCTTTTCCATAATTTCTTAACCTTAATTGAAGTTATTATTATCTCTTCTGTAATTGCTTAGCCTTAATTGAAGTTTGAAGTTTGTTATCCCTTTCATTGTTAATGTATTCGTATTTGGGGTCATTGATTCATGTTACCTCTCTTATCGTCGAATTGTACTTTTGTGAAATTATTATTACACATTATCTCTCCCTTGTTGAGCTATTCTTGCTGAGACCATTATTCCCTGTTGTGTCTTTCTCTATAAGCTCATTCTTCCGTTTATTTGTGTTCTGAAGTTCTTGTGTTGATTTGCTTGTCGTACTCTTGTGTTATTATTGTTGTTGTTATTGTTGTTGTTATACTCAGTGTTGTTGAGCTGAGACTATTGTCACGACCTAAATTTTTCACCCTCGAGAGTCGTGATGGCGCCTACTAGTGAAAGCTAGGCAAGCCAATTATTCCAATTATTTTACCCTTTTCATTTTTAATCCTTTAACAATTGCGAGTTAACATTTTATAAATAGTGGAAATAATAAAGGGGAAGAATGAAATGTAACAATTTACAATAGTACTTATACGAATCCATAAACATAAACCACTTAGAACTGGTGTCACAATCTCACAAACTATCTAAGAATACTACAACTAGGGTTCGAATAAAATAGATACACATCTGTCTCTGAAATGGCAAAGAATAGAAGAAAAACTAGATAGGAAGGGGACGCCAAGGCCTGCGGATGCTTGTAGGACTACCTCGGGTTTCTTGATGGACTGAATGCAGCAACTTCACTGTGGTTCAAAAGCTCCAGTACCAGGATCTGCACACAGT